AGCCGCTTTGACAAATTACACAAAATACAGTTTTTAATGTTTAAGCAACAAGCTACATACTCCATGCAAACAAAATAGACAAAAATTATAAATATATACATATGGATATTTTAAGCTTGTTAACTGCCTGTTCGCAGCCCGTTAGCCCGTTCGCCCGCTTTGCCTGCAATCTGGTCACTCAAGTTGCTGCGTAATGGCGGCAGGCGATAAATGCTTTTGGCATAAATTATGTCTTTAGCGTTTACCTCTGACAGCATTTGCAATACCCTCGAAATTGACAGTAAAACGACATTTTGTGGCTTTTCTGTTCGCTTCTTGGCATGCAAGCCAAATTTAATCTGCAATTACACAACTATGAGCGAGCTTGCGAAAATGCAGTTGAAATGAGAAAAAATCCACTCATTTACTTATCAACAGCTTAAACGGCCATCAATTCCAATTAACGCCGTCAAAGAAGCCAGCTTGAGAATCCGCCGCCGATAAGAATTTGCTGATAGTACCAGTTTAAAGTTCTGGACGTTGACAGCCCATAAAACAGTCGAAACATTAAGGCGAGCTAATGTGACTTTTAGGTGCGTGTGTTTTGCCAACAGCTTTAGATTAAACGATTAAGGCAAAAATTATTTACATTTTCCATGTGTTCTGGAAACATTTGTCTTTGATTTTTGGTTGTTAAAAATCCGCCTCTCTTATTTATGCTTTTTGTAGAACCTCGTTCTACTCTGAAATGGATAGTTGATTGATTGATTTATTGACATCTTTTCCAACAATTCTTGTGACATTACTTAGATCTGAATGATAAAAAATTAAATTTGTTTAATTAAATCTTATTCCGTATAATCTATATTTTTGTGTCTACACTACCAAACATTTACTTTGAAACAAATTTTCACTAACGGTTGCCATTCATTGATATTCTGAACTTCCACATCAGAGCCAAAGATTAAATTCAAAGAATCTGTTTAAATAATTTTATTTCTATGCTAACTGCATGATCGAGCAAAAAAAAGAAGCCTCTGGGCAAATTTTTATGTTAAAGAATGAAGCTGTGATTGAAACAGGCAGATGGAGTGATGGACAGATGGATCACCGCTTATAGCGGCTTGAGTTCTTGTTGCCTGTAATTTAGCTTTAATATGTGTTCCACCAATCCTTGTTAGATGTTACGAAGTCACATAAAAGATGTCAAGGAAATGAATAACCAATTTTTTTAAACATAAGCTTGGACTTGTGTCGAGATTGTGTGTTTTGAAAAATATCTCCAACAAAAATATTTAGTTATTCAACTAAATATAGAAAAAAATAAAAACATGAATGTCAACACCAGGAACTCGGGAGCAGGCGAAAAAAAGGCCATCATCGTGGAGCGACAACTAAACAGAGAAAGCAAATTAAATATGGGACAAAACAACGAGCAGGAAGAATACCCCACAACCCATCATACGACCATGTCTATGCCAGGACAACGCGCTCTGGAGGACAACGACGAAACACGGCCGAGCGCAATGAAATCTATATTAAAACACACCCAACAAAGCAAAATTAATCTTCAAGCAGGTAAACAACGTAAAGGATATTCCACGTTCATTTCCAATATTCCTGAAGAAAGGCGGAGCCTGAGCAAACATGTGACTATATCTTCTCCTGAAATTGTTGCTCAGACGAGTAGAGAAGAAGCAAGCGGAAGCGGAAGCCACTCAAGGAACACAAACACACAAAAAAGCATGGAACAAGGACAGGAACGCAAAGGATTCTTCGCTCACCAATCTAATGCCCCTCAAGAAAGGCGTAGCGCTGGGCTGAGCAAACATGTGACGATAACCGAATTGGAAGAATTGAAACAAGGCGGAAGCAAGTCGTTGGAGGCAGAAATAACTTCGCATAACGATAAGAAGAGAGCCAGGCCCATTCTTTTGAAAACCACACCCACCTTTAGCTGCCGGTCGTTAGGCGTTTCTCTTCCGCGATCGGATCTGGGCAAAACGTGGCTGATCGGCAACGAGCAGCCGAAAAATGGAGATCAGACGACAAGTGCAAATCAAAAAGGAGTTTCGAAAAATACAAATAAAGCTTTGTCGGTTGCGCAAATTAGAGTCCCATCACAGGATATGCTAAGGAGCAAAGTAATTGATTTCGAGACGGATAGAGAAAGCTGGCGAACTGCTTTCAATGCAGCCATGACCGACTTGGAAGCATTGATGGTTCCGCGCATAACGAAGGAAGATATGCTCAAGAAAATATGCGCACCGTTTGAAAAGGAGCAAAATAACTAATATCCTACTAAATATAATGCCCTTATAAAAAATTTGCAGTGAAAATTTGGACCTAGTGCAATATTATGCTGCAATTCCGTTTCCTTTAAGCGTTTGGCAAAATTTACCAACAATATGCAATTTAATAAATTTATAATTTTCAGTTTTCAAAAATATTAAATGCATCAATCAGCAAGGTATTTGATCACGTATTTATGATTGTCATATTTTTGGTTACCAGTTTTTAATATTTTTAATAATAAAAGGTCAATTGAAAATTATTCCCGCGATTAATTAAATCATATATGCTGCGTAACAATTTTAATTTGTAAAATGCGGACATAAGCAAGTCTGCTGCTGCTGTTTATGCGTCATTGTATCACAAAAATGTGAAAACGAAACACTCAAAATTATAAACTACTTCAAATATTTTAAAACAAAAGGATTTTAATAGGCGTGGAAGATAGAGAACATACACTTACAAGATAATGTTTGTTTACCAATACGATATAGATCGCTTCAAATTAGACAGCTGTATTTAAATAACTTTGAAGATTATTTATTTAAGATATGAAGATTTATTTATTTATTTATTTTTTTTATTTTTTAGTAGTGGGATTAGATTTTGTGCTAAATATTTTAATATGAGTTTAGTGTTGTGTATTGATGGGTTCGCAATAAGGGTGATGGGGTACATGCTTGGGAGAAAAGATAATTTATATGGCAGGATAATCTTAAGGTCAGCAGAATGAATTTTCATTACTCGTATTACTCAAAATTAAATTAATTTGCATATTTTTGTTAAAACAATTTCAAATCGTTTCTATTGCAATAATAAGCCGAATTCTTTTTATTCAAGAACTGTAACATCGATTAGCATAATGGTAGCAGTTCCAGTATTTGAAAAAGCAGTTGTTATGATTAAAAGGCATGACTGACTAAATAAATTTCTAATACATAGTTTCTCAATTGCAATATTATTTTTTATTTCATTCTCAATGCACCTTATTTCATAGTTGAACCAATTCATTATTTTACACATTTATTTAGAATAATAATAATTGTTTGTTCAAAGTGAAGAGCGAACCCATTTGACGAGGGCTCTTTTAAATTGTTAACGTATGCCACTTGTTCAGCCCAACAATGTTCCTATTAGCCATTGCAGTTTTTTAACGGCATTGAGATAAGGTGGACTTTTAGTCTAGGATCAGCATGTGCTGCCCGTCAGGGTGCAGCCCAGTATGGATTGCGCAAACAACCTTTCACCGCATACTGCAACATATACAAATTAAATTGGCAATAGCTCTGGTCATGGTAATGGGCATGGGACTGACTGTGACTGTAACTGGAATAGGAATTGGGCCTGGCCGAGGCAGATTGCCATAAATTTGCCTGTTTTTTGATTACTACTTACATATATATTTCTATAAAAATAAATACTTATAAGAAGTTAATATTTTTTGTTTTTGCGCTGGATTTGGAGCCTGCATTTGCTTGTTAAGCTCAAGCACATGCCATAAATTAACGTCAATTGGCGGCGGCGCACAGCCAGAGACCCGGAGAGCATGGACATGGAGAGCCACAGTGGTGGACTTGAAGTTGGCGCATGCGCCCATAAATCTTGGCGCGACGGTCAGCGAAGTTCATGTATTTATTTCTGACATGTATATAAAGTATACTATGTGCATATTATAAGTAGCATATGTATCGTATATGTATCTTACATTTCACGCTTTTGCTGCGTTGATTTGGAAAAATTAAACTAAAAATTGCTATTTAAATAGAGCCGCTGGCTCGTCAAAAACTCACGCAGCATCAGGGGCAGGAAACATAAAAATTCTACAGAAAATTGTCAGCGGCCAATTTATCGATGTTTTTCTTTCTTTTTTGTGTTTCGTGCTGTGTTTTTTGCTCAGTTTGTTTCGGCTTTTGTCATTTTGATTGAATTCAAATCGCATAACATGCCACAAACGACAGCAACAGTCAAATGGCTGAGGCGGGGGAAAGCAACAGTAATGGCAATGGCAATGGCAATGGAAATGGCAACAACGCTGTATAAAGAATGTCAAAGTCATTTAAGCGTTTCTCTTTTACTGCCCTGGCAGGGAGTGGTGCCGACAACGACAACGACAATGAAGATGACGATGGCTGCTGGTTGGCCACTTGACTGCTCGACTGCTGTCAGCTACCGTTTGTTGCCTACGCTCGGGCTTGGGCTCGGGCTTGGACTGGGGCTTGGGTTCTGGCTCTTGCTCTTGCTCTGGCCAACAAGTGCAAGGCAGTCGTCACTGCCAGAGTGCTGCTGGCCATGCCGCAATGTTCATCAAGAACATCAGGCCGGGTCTCCGGTTCTTTTTTTTACGAGTTTCGAATAAAACGCTAAATGCAGTCAGAGAACGCAGTAGCAACACACAATGCAACATTTAAGCAAACGCAGAAACAGCAACAACAACAGCAGCTACAAAAAATAAATAAATAAAAAAGTGGAGCCCAATTTAAGTTGCGCGGCAAGAGCGACAAGAGCAAGAACCAACAAGTTTATTGGCATTGTTGCCGCTCTTTTCCGCCGTTCACAGCCTTCAATTTTGCACATAAGATCCATCATTGTCAAGTTCAACGGCCACGCATGCGTTGCAGCGTTTAACTAATGAAAGAAAACCAGAAGGGCTAACGTGAACCGAGTAGGCCAAGTTAGTGGCTAGCTAAGCGTGACCATTTTATATAGGCTTCGAATGATTTCGTTTAAATCTAAAACTGGCCAGAATGCGCACGGTCCTTCACTGAGCCACGACGATGACGACCCATGAAGTAGATAACATCGGCGGACTTCACTATGAACAGAAATTGCGAGGTGGCACAATCAAAAGTTTTGCTTGCATTGAAGAAACGCAACGGATTCATGTACTCTGTAACGAAGGCACGTCCAATCCAACATATATTAGTATACACGTATAGTAGGTGGAACAGAGTCGCAAACTAACCTGAGAGCGGCGCATTGCCGCCTAAAACATGCAGCTGCATATTAATCGACTGTACGTAGCGCTGAACTTGAATGCGTCGATTGAAGGGCGGATCGAACATGCCTCGATAATGCAACTCCAAATGGAACAGCTTGTGTAGACGGATCCAGGACATCTGAATTAAAAAAGGGAGAAACGGAAATAAGTTAGATGCAATTTATAAAACTGAGCTTAACACATGGTAATCAAATTATAAACTTGCATAGAAATTGCAATATTATTACGATTTCTACTTTCGTCACTAGCTTGTAATATAATAGAACAAACGTAGTAGATTGCTCATATGTTTAGTTAATATGGTAATTAACTGATAAACTATCTATCTAATTTCTGTCTGAATTGCATGGAAATTGTAATATTTGTACGTGTTTCTACTTTCGTCACTAGCGTGTAATATCGGAAACAAATGTAGTAGTTCGCTTACCGCTTTAGCTAATATGGTAATTAACTGATAAACTAACTAATATCTGTCCAAATTGTATAGAAATTGTAATATGATGACAGTTTACACATTCGTCACTAGCGTGTATTGTTGAGAACAAATGTGGTAGATCGTTCACCTCTCTAATTAATATTGAAATTAACTGTCAAATTAATATATGTCCGAATTGTACAGAAATTGCAATATTACTACGAAAGTGTTTCTGCTTTCGTCACTAGCGTGTAATAACGAGTACAGATGTGATAGTTGGCTCACCTCTTTAATGTATTTGCCCAAATTGATTTTGGACAGAAACTTCAAGCTGGGCATACGCACAGCGACCTTGTGGAAGCGTAACTGCTTAGAGATATCCTTAAAGCTGCGTAAATTTCCCGAAAGGATTTTCGACTCCAACGCCGTCATTTGCATATGTTTGCCCGGCATGATGAGTAGCATGGAGGCTCGGCGTGACTTGGTCCCATACAGCGGTAGCTCCACTATCTTGCAATGGATAAATTGGTGTCCAATTTTAACTTTGTCCGCATAACGAAAATAGCCTCTGGCATAACGTAGGTCCTGCACGTTTCTAAACTGTTCCCCCAGAAAGGCATGGAACTTGACGAAACTGTAGATTTCCAGACCATGTGTTGTGAAGCCAAAGTCGTGTAGCAGACCCGTGACCACTGGCTGATGTTTGGGCAGCACCGCAATATTGAAATAGTCTTGGGCACTATATTGAAAACGTTTGTCGATTTCGTAACCCCCATCGTAGACAAAGTAGTTCTGTGCCGTTATATCTGAGCCCAGTTCGTCAAAGTCCTTGGCGAAGAATTCCAGAACATGATACGGTAGTATGAAATACGCCATCATACCGGCGTTCACCTGATCCTTGCTTTGGCGTAATAGTCGTGCACGTGCACGAGCCGCGGTCATCTCGATCGACTCACGCAGAAGCGTGAAGGCATCGTGCATTCCCATATCGCGAGCCAATGGACGCATGTATTCGTAGCTGCTAATATTGTAGAATACTGCCAAGAGTTTCTGTACGGACGCTGGCGATATAAGCACCACCGATGTGGGGACGGGTTGTTTATTCAACTGATTAAGCAGCGAGCGAAACAACTGAGTGGCGAATGCATCACGGGAATTGGGATTGGGTTGCTGGTGGCGGGTTGCACTGGGTATGCAGAGAAGCGCAAACACAAACACAAACAGAACTACGTATCGGATGACACTTTAGATGGTTAATCCGAACTCGTATCGTCTTAGACTTACCCGGTCTCATTGTGAAAATTCGATAAAGTCAAAGCCGCTTGCACTGAGTTTGGTTTGATTGCAAATGATTTCAAAGACTGTCTGACTGTTAGTGAGATTTCATTTTGACAGACGGTGTTGAATAACTAAATAATACGGACATTATTTAACACTGCAAATTAGGGTTGAAGGTGTGTGTCAATCTTCTGTGTAAAATAATTTGTTGTTTCATTTAAAAAAACGAGTTTTTTTTTAGTGAAATTAAATGGAAATGGACATGGATACTTAATAGCATTTTGATTAGAGTAATCTAAATCAATATTTAGTTTAGTTTTTGACTCCATTCCTCCATCTCCTTAATATCCGTATACTATTCTGTAATAAACATTTTCATAAGTTTCTTGAGGCTGGTTTTAGTTCGAATATTGTTGGGCGACTAATTTACCTTTTTTCTTAGAGCAGTCCCAATTACTCTATTTATAAGCCACTTGCTTAAAGTCTCAAATAATTTAATACAAAAACGTTGCTTGCACGGTTACTAACATTTGATAAGTTTTTGCCATATGTTGAGCATTTTGGCACACTCTTAGGCATCAAGCGAAAAAGGATTATCTGCGATTTGTTGGCCCCATTCAAAAATAAAATAGGACTTCATGCAGCCGAAACAAGCGTCAAACTTTGGCAGTGGCGCAAAATTTTTGAATTTATACACAAGTTCATAAACAAAGGACTAAAAGGATTTAAGTTTGGCATGCAACGCCGACAATGGAGCACAATGATGCCATAAACAATAAACAGGCAAGCTGGGAAGCCTGCAAATTGTTTTGCCAAAAGCTCGCCTAAGCCACAAAACTATGCCGCACTCATTTGGATGGAGCTGTTAGGGTATGGGTATGGTTATGGGTGTGGGTATGGGTGTGGGGAGGAAGTGGGAAACTTTGTGAAGTGCAGGATTTGTGCAGCCAAAAAGTTGAGCGTCTGTTGTGTGGAATTAATTGTTACCGTCTGGGACGTTGCACAGAGTGCTGCGAAAACAAAGCTATCACTTACACAGACCTATGAGTTGCACAAACCCTATACGAGTATGTATACGGATCTGTATGCTCGTAATAAGTCCGATTAGACAAAGACGACCGAGCCAGGCAACGAGCACAGGCACAAGCACAAGGACAAGGATAAGGGCCGTGTGAAATTCAATTAGGCGCCATGACGTGCAGCGTTTCGGATGAACTTGAAGGCGCAAAGAGTTTCATTTGTTGCAGTTGTTGCTGTTGTTGCTGTTGTTGCTGTTGTTGTTGTTGCTGTTGCCTGGACAACAGCAATAAAACACAATGCGGATAATTTGGCGTTTTTCAATTTTTCTTGGAAGCCAAAGGCAGTCCTTGTAATTTAGCACATAAGTCACCGAAAGTCAATGCGAAGTTGGACCAAAACCAACAACTTGATTCTTCTTATTTTTTTTATATATTTTTTTTTTACCCTACACTGCCAACAATATTTCTCGTGTGAGCTGTGAGCTGCCCAACTGACCTCTCCCTCTCGTGTTGGCCTGCATTCTGCGGCTTTTGTGGAAGTGCTGGGCGTGGCCGTGGGCCAGTGTTGTCTGGCCACTCCCGCGTGCCCAGCATGCACAGCCAACCAAGCCAAGGCACGCAAGCCGCGGAGCCATAGGCCTGGGCCTCTGTCTGACTCCTTGCTCATGGCCATTCACTTTCCGCTGCAGCTGTGTTGCATGCCACAAACACGCTTGTTGCTGTGCGGCGCATTAAACTAACAAGATTAAAGTTGAAATTGTAAATTGCTTCTTAGTCTAATTATGTTGCAACGCTGTTGTTGCACTGAGCACTGATCATCATCGCACTGATCACCATCTTGTTGCAGGTTGCAGTTGCACACAAATTGTGTTTTCCTTCATCACACACATGCGGGTACGTACAAGTATATACTTGTATGTACATATGTGTATCTCCTTTTCTAAACAACCATTTGCGCACTTTAATTATTGCAGCACTTTGAGAAAAATAGTAAGCCATTTAAAAGAGTGTGCTAGACTTTTTCGAATGAAAACCTTTCTACAAGAAGTGGAAATGGGAAATAGTCAAAGGAAAATTGTTATATTTCAAGTATGTTCAGAAAAATGTTTCCAGTCGCTATACATATCTTTTGTGCATAAATCAATTTATGTTTAGTCATGATTTTATTTTTGGGGATAGGATTATTTGATTTTTTATAATTTTGTATATCTTTTATAAATTAAATTCTTTTATTATTTTCAACAAACTCTTTATTTATTAAATGATGCAGCTGCCAAGCTTTCAGTTTGTTTTAAATATTCTTAAGAGTAAATTGTGCGTTATAATTGTTTTATTGAGTAGTGCTCTATTTTATATAGCGCTTAAAATATTTATTTATTTATAAGCCTTGTTCTTCCCTTACAAGTATTGTTTTACTTGTAAATTATTACGCTAGTCATCACAAATTTAATTATATCGAGCTTATTGTTAGGGTATTTTCTTATTATTAATTCTATATTTAACATTAAACATGTTTAGTAATCTTTATATTTATTTACAATATTTTTTTGGGATTGTTTGATCAGTTTTCGTTAACTACTTGTATTTTCCTGCTCAACTAAGTGTGTGATTAATATTAATATTGTAATTTGTAACGTTAATTTAGTTAATGTTTTGTGCCGGTGCTTGAATGTTAACTCGAAAGTGCGTTTCACTGCTAATTGCGGTAACTCGGATATTTGATCCAGAGCTTTATAAGCATTATGTGACTGAATTAAGGGTGAATATAAAAGATCCTAATGTTCGTTTAATCATCAATTATTTCAAATTTGTACTCGTTGTTTGATTTTTATAAATCATGTATGTATATAGGTAGAATATCAATATCAGTCCTTTAGTAGTGCCAAAAGTTTTGGCCCAAAACTATTGTATTGATCGTTTGTGTAGAATATTAATATCGATGACGAAACAAAGGTAGGGTATAAGCATATCTTAAGTTTGAAAACCATTGCTCACCAGAGACATGTGAATGTTTCAACCCTCTTTCTCTCAGTGAAGAAATTAAATCAAGCATTAACTGCTTTGGCAAACATTGCACTTTCTCGACGATTACCAAGTCAACGGAAAGTTGAGTTCTTCGTCTGGCTACGTGTCTTCGAGCTGCTCCAATTCTATGAGCATGCTTTATTATATTTCGAATTCAGTTTTCTTCAGATTTACAAGCAGATATATGGCAATGAGTGTTCGTCTGTCGATTTCACGTCGCATAGCAGCATTTAAAAAATAAATAAAAAAATCAAATATCTGGCAATGAGCTTGTATTGCAGGGAAATCATATTTGTTTGCGCAGCCAATGAGAGTTGGAATATAAGTGTAGAAGAGAGCTATCATGGGACGTATTTAATTTTGCCTGGTCTCTTCGTTAGTTCCCATAAGGAGCCCTAATCGAGTGCATGCAACGGTAATTACACTCGCAGATAAATATCAGCGCAGTGGACAGAGCACTGTTAGCAACTTGATGCAAAATGCAATGCTCAAGCAATGGTCAAGTTTCTGGCCAAGTTGAAGTTGTTTGCGCGCACTTACAACAACTTAGTACAACAAAGTCAGGAAAAAGTGGTCAACTGAACAGAAATGGTAAGACGAGTGACTAGAACTTGCCAAGTTGGCGAAAGCAAAGTAAACGAGCGCAAGGCAAAGATACTTTATTAATTTTAACCGTTGCCTGCGTGGCAGCTTCAATCTGTGTTGTTGTAGCTATAGTTGTGGTTGTTGTTGCTGTTGTTGTTAGTGGTGATGCAGCAATGGTTGCTGCTGCTGCTGCTGCTGCTGCAATTTGAAGCGGCGACCAAGCGGCGTTGGTCAACTGTCGTGAGACAAGTTTATTTGGCTCAGTGCCGTGTTGACGTTTAATAAATTTACGAATTGTGGACGCGCGCAGCATGTGGCCCTGGCATTGGCATTGGCATTGGGATTGGTATTGGTATTGGTCCACGTCTGCGTGCATGTCCATGGAGCCTGGGCAGCGGCGTACATTGGCAGTTAGACAAAGTATGCACACTTTAGGCAGCTGCTGTTGCTGCTGTGGCTTCAGTGGCCGGAGCAGATAAGCCGGGACCGACTGTCGTGCGGCATCATCAATCTTGAGGCTTTAAGAATGGCAGTTGCTAGCAATGTTAATGTGTTGCATCAATCGTTGCATTAAGCCAAACACTGAGGACTGGTAAATGGCACAGAAGGCGGACCAAATTTTTAAGGCAACTCTTAATTTCTTTTAGATGCCGCGCACTTTTATTTCTTGCTACAGAAAGCAACAACAACTGCAGCAACAACAACAACATGTTGTTTGCGAGTGCTGGTAAACATTTTTCTGTAATTAAAATCTTCAACTGAAAAAGGCGTTCTCTACTTGGCCGTCGTCATTGTGGTTACAGTCGTTTCGCTTTTAAGACCACTTTGCCATGTTCAATGCAATAGCAACAGCAACAGCAACAGCAGCAGCAGCAGAAACAGAAACAGCAGTAGCAACAGCAACAGCAACAACAACAATAATAATCAAAAGATAAACTGCCGCCGCAATGGCAGGCAGCAATAGTCGATGTGGCTGTTGCTGCTTCAGAGGTTCAGAGCCTCTGTTGTTCTTGTTGCATTCATTGAAGTCCATTTAGACTGCAATTAAAAAACTCACAACTTATATGCGCAAAGGGGCCCAAGGAACAGATAAAGCCAGAGCAAAGGCAAAGTAAAAAGTAAGAAGCAAAAGCAAAAGCCCAGCATTGCGCTTCAAGTTCACTTAGCTTTGGCATAAATGTGCGACTTCCAGCGAAAGAATGTGCGGCAACTATGTGTATGAGTATGTGTGCGTTGGGTGTATCTTGACAAGCAACCTGTTCCTCTGCCTAAGACGCAGATAGAAAAAAAGTGAATTAAGTAAATAAGAAAAACATGTTTGTGAAAATTGTGCGAATGCTTTAAATAATGAAGTAGGTGGACAGACAGAGACAAAGCGCACGCTGCACGCTGCAGTCGGATCGCGAAAATTGACCATGACTTTAAGCGTTTTTTTTTTC